ATTATAGTCTTTTAAGGCACACATTCCACGTGAATAGGCTTATGAGGAAGTGTCCAGGAAATCTTATGCTTTTGGAATATAATTAGTTTGGATAGTTGGGCTCTCGTGACAATAAAATTGACAGCTAAAGACAAGGTGCTACACGAGGAGGTGCTCTAGGACGAGAATTTATAGATATTTCACAAATTTTTGTAAATTGCAAATTTTTATAAGACATTTGAAGCAAGTATGATGAAGCAAGTAAATTTAATTTAGAGAAACCTTCCCGAACACTGCTAAACATTACTACCGGGCTACTAGAAGCCAATATTAACAACCGTATAGTTAATTATTATCGATTGCCTGTTTAGAATGGACCAATGGATGATGGGTATTTTAGAGACAACCCAAAGTGTCAACTATGCCGGAAAAACACTTAAACATTTAAATCAATACTATCATAGAATCTTAAACTTGAAAGAAGTGGTGATTGGCTATTGTGAAATCGGTGTTGGATACTCATCAAATTCCCAACTAGTTTGATCTAACATGTGACTGTTAAATGTTCCCAAATTATACATTTGGTCCGATTTTCAATGTTCGTCAACTAGCATAGTAGCGTTATTCAAGTTTATTTTTTGTCCTGTGCTAGGAATGATGTCTTTTCTTTTCTTCCGATGTTCTCTTTGTTCTTCTTTAGCCTTGTCCTCCAAGAACATTGGCGACTAGTCACATGATCTTTCCTTTGCTGGCAGAGCACCTAAATAGTTTCGCGGTGTTGATTCCCTACAGTCTGTGTGAGACGGTCAAATATTTGATCAAGCTAGTTTGACCAAACCAAGAAATTGACAGCATATGACGTCACATCCTGAGTTTGGTCAAATCCTCTAAAAATAGAGGATATTCTATTTTTCAAAATCAGTTTGATCAAACTTTAATTTTGATCGGTAGAAAAATATCTAAAGACACATAACAATCAACAGTTAGACATAACGTGATGAAATTCGTTGTGTCTTCCTATTTTGTTATAAAATAAAAGTTTATAATATCTTGGAGTCAGGAACAAGTTTCTGCATAATTGATTTATATCGAGAAAGAAGCTGTTTATATATAATGTGAAGAGTTCGCATTATTTCTCCATTGTCTACAAGAAAAAATTGAATCGCAAATAGAGCAGATGTAACTAATAAATAAGCAAAAGACAATTGATTTCATTGACGTATGTCAATTTGATCAAATTTTAATGATGGTGTGACAGGTGTGACTTTTTAAATTTGAACAAACTATAATTATGATATATATTTGACCGTCAGGCACATACTTACTACTGACCGAGGCTCTCGAGCCTAGTTGTTCGTTGTTCTCGATGTTCTTGTCGTCTTACCTGTATTCTTTGTTTGGTCTGTCCGATGTATGATTTAGTAAACAAGATCCCTTGTCTGTCACAAGGGATCTTTTTACTCCTTTATTGTCCAATGCAATTTTTGTTTTTGCGGATGGTATATTGTATATAGTAAATGGGGTTAATATATTTGTACATCCACGTTCATCAATAGCTTAAATGAGCGGTTTTTTTCTTCGCCAGTATAATTCATGATTATTTAACCATACCTAGTTTTGATGCCAAATTACATTTATGAAAATATGGATTGTCAAAGTTACATAAACACAAATAATTTAAGAGTAAAAATATTGTCGATAATATAAGAAGGAAAATAATAAAGTGATATAAATAAACAAGCAAAACAAGTGCAGTACATTTCCGCTAAAAAATAAGGAATAAAATATCGATATACACAAACATTTACAACCTGCTTCCAGAAATAAATGTCCAATATTTCAAATATTATGAACAGGTTGTGCTTTTACCACTTTTATCACAAAGCAAAAGTGTGTAAAATAAATGCCAACAATAAATTGACGTGAGACATTCTTTGAGATTGACGTGAGACGTTTTGGTATTTGACATGAAGTAAAAATATAGTTAACCGATGATACAGAATTAGAAATTCGTGTGTTTGTTCTTTTTGTCAACATTTAAATCAAGAAGAGGAGGGTTTATACAAGGAGGTGTTAAAGGAGAAATAAAGATACAGAAATAGTAGAAAAAAAGAAAAATTTACAAATACGGAATAAAGAGGTAAAAATCGAAATAAAAAAGATAAAAAAAGCAGAAGCTATAAAGAAAGAAGCACTTGATCTTAAGGTGCTGTCACCATTACTAAAGTTTGGCATAAACACAGACAAATTGCTCTCTATCATTGAGCTGTTCATTAGTATCGGAATGTGTGTTCATTGCCTGTCCAGTGTCTTACATTCTTCAACCAGGAGCATTTTCTTCTTCCTGGACTTCTTCTTCCTTCCACTTTCCCTTCCATTATAAGTCGTAGGAAGTTGAATTTTTCTCCTCTGTAAATAGGTCTTCTTAGCACCTCGTTGTTGATCACGTGCTCTGTCCAAGAGATCTTCATCATCCTTTGAAAAATCCACATCTCAAAGGCTTCTATAAGCCTCATACTTATAATTCCGAGAGTCTGTTTCCACTCCGCATACCAATATGGAATAAATAAACGTTTTTACAAATTGGTATGGGATATCCAACGATACCGTAGAGTTTATTAGAATTTTTTTCATTCGTTGAAATGCGGACCTAGCATATTCTATACGAGCACGTATTTCGACCTCGTGGTCAAGATCGTTTGTTATCCAGCAACCAAGATACTGGAATCTTTGTACTAGTTCTATATGTTTGTTATAGATACAAATATTAATACTTTTGTTTTATTTGTGTTTATATTTAGTCCCAAGCTATCTCCCTCTCTGGTTATGACATTCAAAAGTCGTTGTAAACCCTCAGCACTGTCCGCAATAATGATGGTGTGGTCTGCGTATCTTCATTGTTTGCGTATTCTCCGTTGATTTTTATTCCTTCTTCAATATTTTCGAGGGCATTTTGAAGGCAAGATCTTTTCTGAATATATATTAAATAACAGTGGAGAAAGTACACAGCCCTGACGAACTCCTCTTTTTATTGGCAATTCTGCGTCAAACGATTGTCTATTTTGATCGACGCCATTTGACCCCAATATAGTTTTTTAATAAGTGCTACAGTGTTATGGTCTATACCAGGAAGAAGCACTAGAGGAAGCGATAAGAAAGATAAAGATTGGGAAAGCTCCTGGGACGTAAGTATAAAAGTGAGGGTAAATCTTGTCAAGAACAGAAAATAATGGATAACACTCATCCAAAGGTAAACGCACCATTCCTTGACACCTAACAGTAGAAAAGGAACTGTGCGAACTAGAGTACTATTTGGATATTAAAATCAAGTTGACACCTTTTGTTAAAGAAGAAAATCACATTGAAATACTCCAAAATTGTCTACCAATCTAACAACAGGTTTATCGATATGTATCAGGTTCATGTAGACGAAAAATAGTTTTACATTAGACAAACAGTTTAGCAATATCATCACACCTACAAAATGTTTACATTTGTAAGAAAAGTACAGAATACTTTTGTCTTCTTACAAACGTGATGTGTCATATTTAAGGGTTGAGCAAGTCTCTCAATCTGGGTTAAGCTTGCTATTGCTTGCACACTGATTTAAACAACTCCTTGGAGATTTTTAGATTGATATATGTAGGTACTTGTCTCAAAAAATAAATAATTTTGTTACCTTAATAATTTTTCAAAAATATTAATTTATAAACAGAAGAACACTTATTTCTGAACGGAGGTAGTAGATAATAACAAACTTCGTGAAATATATCCATTTAACTTTATTATACAGGGTTGGTATTTCAAACGGATATATTTAGTACCCTGTTTCTCCTTAATACTTTTATTGTACATTTACAAGTGTAAAAATATATACAGAGTGCATCAAAACGTATTTTTGTCTTGTTCTTCCATATTTTAGATTTGATTTTTTGTTTTAATTAAAGAAAGTTACAAAAAGTTTACTGAAAGTTTACTAAAAATTTACTAAAAGTTTACTAAAAGTTTACTAAAAGTTTACTAAAAGTTTACTAAAAGTTTACTAAAAGTTTACTAAAAGTGTACTAAAAACTGCAAAAAATTATGATGCAACAATAGATTTGTGTGTAGTATTTATTAATATTGGTAACGTTTTCGATAATGCATAAGAATAAGAGTATTTTTGCATAAGAATTTAATATAAACGCTTCGATTCAGGTGCTGAAAGATAGTACTAAAAATTATACAAAACATACTTATATAGGAAAAGAGGTGTTATTAATATGAAATTTAAAATTATTTTAAGTTTGTTCTTGATAAGATTGAATCCGGTAATAAGATTTTAATGAAACAGATAAGAATATCATACTGTGTGGTATGCAATTTGAGAAAGAGATAGAGAATAATATGAAACTAGATGAAGAGAGTCGAGTTTTACAGGAAAAAAGGTATTGTGACGATCAGATCAGAGGTGTGTGAAGATTTCAAGTAGATCTAATCACTATTCAAGCACAAATATTAAAATAGTAATAATAAATTAGGAATCAGTGATTGAAGAATGCTGGGGATATAGATATAGTTGTGATCTCCAAGTGAAGTCACTTGGAGGCAAAATCTTGGGACCAAAACTATTCATTTAAATTTTTTTAAGTTTCAGCTTGTTTTGTCCGAAAATTTTAACATCTAAAACATGGATATTCACTACTTTTGTAGTATCATTAATTAAATGCTTTAATGAAGTTTGATACACAATGTATTCCTATTCTATTGAGATCCTGTTATAATTTTGTACTCAAACGAAACAAGTACTGTCAAACTTGGACGGAACAGGATTAGGTTGTAACATAAATGAGGTATCACAATGTTGTGATCTCGGAGATTTGTATCAATATATGTCTGTCATATTAATACAATTTGCCGAAAACAGAATTTTGTGCTACCCTCTAAAAAACAATCTAAAATTCAGTTAATTTAAAATAAATAAAAGATTCTAAATTTTATTGCACATGGCAATATCCTAAAATTTGCTATTTATCACAAAGTTAAGGTGTGTCTCTATCTACTGATTCCGACCTCCCTGGTCCGTGGTTTCTTTTTGGTGGAGGTTGTAGGGGAAACAGTCTATGTTCAGTCGGCCAGTAGATAGGTCTTTCTCCATCATCTACCGAGGCTACGGCTGCTAATGATGGAACATACTGCTCTGGCATCCAGTCGAAAGAAAATGCACTAGTTTGATTGCTTGGTGTGGCTGTAGGGGTGGGAGGAGCACTGCCTATGTACGGACTAAGTTCTTGGTGGCAGAGATCCGGTACTTTTTGTAAAGTATCGGACCAAGGTGGACTAGGGTTCCATTGATCCATTAATTCACTAGGATCTACTTTAAGTAGGGTGCGTGGCCGCTCTGACATATGGGATATAACCAGCAACCCGCTGCTACCTCCTTCGCTGTCGGTGATTTCATGATCTGTAACTTCTAATTGTAAATTTTGTAATTCTTTGGGTTTTCTTTTGCTATAAGAGTAGTCTACAGGTTCAGAATCAGCACGTCTGTGATGATGATGGTGCTGGTTGTGATGGGCATGCGTAGAAGCCGGATGGTGAGTTAAATGGGTTTGCATTGGTGTGGGCATTGCCGTGAGGTGCGCATACCCACTCGCATCGTGCGTCGTTGCAAATTCCGGCGTTTGGGTATGTTCAGGATAATACAACAGACGTGAAGAAGGTCCAACGTCATAGGTAAGACCATATTGCAATTTATTTTGTACAGAATAATAATGATAGAGCCAACTATTGGTTCTCATAACAGCTGCTTCGGCGTCGGTTAGTACTTGATTGGTGCACACGATTACGGGCTGTTGGTTACTTTCAGAGCTCTCTTTTACCTGCAACACGCAGTGCATCCACATCCACTCACCTGTTCTCCTTTGGAACTGAGCTAGTAAGATGCAGGAGCGTTCTTGTTCCGATTGTGTAACTGAAATAGATAAATTTATTATTTGACCAATAAAAATCAGTTAATCGAAAGGAACTAATTTCAATTCGAATTTTTTATCTATTTTCATGTTAAAACATTATTTTGCGATTGTAATAAATAAATAAATAAATAAAAAATAAATTTAGCTCCACCACTGATAAAGTGTACGTTTATTTATTTTGTATATACTGACGCAAACGTCAAGAACGTTAAACTAAACTATAGATATTTATTATGACAATATTTGCGATTGAACTAACATAATTTGAATAGCCCCGTATAGCACAGCGTGCTCATGGTTACTGAATATACGCTGAGCATACAATAGGCCCTAAATTCGATTCTGACAAATATTATTCCATTTATCTGTCCATTTATTTGGTAGTAAGCAACCAACCATTGTTTTTATCTCTCTGCTTCGATCTATTATGAAATTTATAGAATTTGATTTCGATTCTGGAATTTGGAACTCCACTTTTTTCGGTACGAATTATTTTTAAAATAAATTATATTAAAAGTAAGATAAACAAATAAAACTGTTTATATATACCTAAATCTAAAACTGTACTTCGACAGACATTGAAAATGCAACGATTATACAGTGCTAGTCATAAGTCCGTTTCCCCCCTCGTATCTTTTTGGTAAGGTATTGAAAATACCTATTCAACGATACTAACTTTACTTGACTTTGAGCTCATTTTAATGAATAAATTAAATAAATACCAAAATTGTAGTTTTGCATTTAAACCTTTTTTGCCCAAATTAAGATTTTTCAAAAAAAAAAAAAAATTTTACATGAATCGAGTTATAAAATAGCTTATAACATATTTTTTTTATTTTTCTGCTACAATAACTATTTTCTCAGAGATGGGACTTACAAGTCCCGTCAGGAATTAGGAATGGAGATTCTGTCAGGAGATAGCGATTCCTTTTGCTATAAAAAATGTTAAAAATCAAAGTTTTTATTATTTTTTATAAATGATTACTCTTCACGAAGTAGGAAGTCCGTGGTACATCGCAAAACAGTTTTTATTTGAATTACAACACAAATAGGCACCACAAAATGAACACTTTGTTTAAGGTCTAGACTCTATTGCAAGTGAGCTGCAATATTCACATCTTCCCTTATTGGTGGTAAAAACAGGCCAGTGTTCTCCCAAATTTCCCAATCTGACGTCATCCAACGCGCTGTAATTATACTTCCTCTTTATGTTAGGTGTAGATGACTCCAACGGATCTTCTTGTCTCCAGCTGGCTGATTTTTTCGAATAATTCATTGTATATGATATATGAATTGACAAAGGCAATGTCCAACATGCCCCAGAATAAATGGTACCACCATTTACGTGAGAACTACGTAGTTGGTCGACAAGATCAACCACAACGCTGGGGCATGGTAAGTTTAAACTCGAACCATCTTTGTTTTCTGGAAACATGTTTTACTTCTGACCCATGAAAGTTAGTTGCAATGTTAACTGCTCTGTTATCCATCCACACAAAATAACCAATGTAAGTATTAGAATAGCTATAATCAAAATCTCCGCGTTGCAATTCCTTTACTTTTAAATTTCGAGGCAAGTCCTTTCTGTTCTTACGAATTGTACCACATGCTAATGTATTTTCTAGTTTTAGTCTTTCGAGTAATTTTACGCTCGTAAAGAAATTATCAAAATAAATAATTCTTCCTTGATTTCAGTATGTCTTGGTTAATGATAGGACTACTCTTTCTCCTAAACCATAGTTCTCGAATTCAATCTGTAATTTTTCGTTTTTGCCTTGATATAAGTCAAACTGTAACATAAAACCATTTTGGTCTGCAATAGACCATAATTTGTAGCCCCTTTTGATGGGCTTTTTCGGATTATATTGTTTCAAGCTACTTCGTCCTTTAAAAATGATCATACTTTCATCCACACTAAGTTTTCTTGTGCCCTGATAACATGTAGTAAATTTAGAAAGAATGTTGCGTTTCAATTTAATTTGAGTCTCTTACCACTCCCTGACACGTGTTTCTGGGTCTACCCGTCATCAGAAGGAGTTTGTAAGAAGACTCAAACCAAATCAAAACGCACCGATTACTCTGGCAATTACATGACAATAACTACCAGAGTATGCAACTAGAGACCTCTAGTGAGGCAAGATGAAGATACGTGGATAGCAATTAAAGTAAACTGTGTACCAAGCTTAAACAAGCCATTCAGAGCGGTACTGAGAATAAAAATATTCCACTATGTACCAACAATTTACCCATATAAATTACCATCAATTTTTGTACTCATTGCGTCGAGTAGGGACGATAAAGTAGTAAATTGTCTGCTTAGAGTATCTATCATCGGTCGAATTTTAAGTGCCTTATCTTTATTGTCGTTGGAAATTTGCTGGTTATCGTTGACATGTAGGTTTGCTAATATCATCTCAAAACGATTCCTTGACACAGTTTTCGAAACAAGAGGCACATGTAAGTCTTGTGAAGTATTCCAGTACATTTTCCAGAAGGAAAGTTGATGGTACCCCATTAGAAAGTTTAGTCCGATAAAGGCCAGTAATGCACCTTCCTTTATATTCAGTATCTTGTTGTTCTGCACTGCATACAAATTACTTTGATAGGTAATCTTCTCCACAATATCTCCGAGTAGTCTAACAAAAACATCTGTAGGTGTTGTTGTGTAACCTGCGAACTCTGGACTCACTGCTCCTTATTCTAAGTGGTAACTTTAAGTATTTTCGATGACATCTTTCTTATGCCATTTCCGGTTAGCTTCAAGAGGTTCAACGTTTTCATTTAGTTTCAACCACAGCTTCTCCTAGTCCTGATTCTTCAATCTCACCTTCATAATTTTCAACTAATTTACTTTCTTCAGCTGCAGATGGACCGACATCTCTTATTTAATTATCGTCATCAGAAACATCATCATCATCATTGGCTTTTACAACTCTTCGTGAGTTTTTGCCGCATTTACTATTGCCTTCCATTGATTCCGATCCTGTGCTATTATTTCCCATGGCCTTACTTCCATCTTCTCCAGGTCTTCCCCGACAGCGTCTTTCTACCTTTTTCTAGGCCTTCCTGTCGATCTTTTACCATCTGGTCTTTCCCAAAACACATTGCTAATCAGTCTGTCGTCATCACTCCGTACCACGTGGCCTGCCCATCTTAATCTATTGGCTTTTATGTATCTTACGTCATCAGAAACGCTGTCTTCATATTCACTAATTTCGACATGATCTGGTAGCTTCAGAATTTGTACTGTCAGTTCTTCTAGTTCCTTTTTTTATAAAGGCTTTTCCATACAATCCTTCCATTTACTTCCCATTCTAAAAGAAAGTAATATAAAAACATGTTTTGAATCCTGACGGGACTTGAGAGTCCCAAGGCTTTGGATAATAATATGAGATGTAATTATCATCATAACAAAATAAATGTTTTATTTACTGTTTACGAGCACCATTCATTTGAACGAGTACTGTAAGAGTTTAGAAATAGAATGCATTACTGACAGGTAGTAAGTGGACCACATTCTGAACACTTACTATAAGAACTGGTTGTTAAATATTTATTAATTAAATGAGAAGCTACAATATTAATATTTATTTAATTTATTCATCAAAATGAGCTTAAACTTAAACAAAATTATGACTTGCCATAAGGTCCCATTTAAAATTATCTGTCACAATGGCGCTGTAACGTCATCTGTCACTATTACGTCGCCTGTTATGACTAGTTGTGAAGCCTACGTCTGTTTATTACCTTCCTCCAAATTTCACTATTACAACAAGAACCATTCAAAAAATAAGAGATGGGGGACTTTTGACTAGCACTGTAGAAAGTAAGAATTTATTTTGCCTCTAAATACTCTTTCAGAAGAGTCACAATCAATAACTGTGTGGATATTGAAATGGCATTTTGTCTCGTAGATCATCATAAAAGCTAAATTCCCTATAGAACATTAATTTAGATAATAAACATGTTTGACTAATAAAGAAATTTATATTAGAGACAAAGTATCAAGATCAGAATCGAAGAACAAACATCTAGAATCTTTAGTATACGTAAAAGTGTACGACAAATCTGTGTATTCTCCCCTAGCAATACTAGAAAATACTAGCAATACTAGAAAATCTACACCAAGAGGTGGACCGAACCCACAAGATGTAGATAATAAAACCACGAGGTGGACTAAAAACACGATGTGGACCAAAACCACGAGGTGGACCAAAAACACGAGGTGGACCAAAAATACGAGGTGGTCATAGATCACAAGGATCTATTACGACCAACAGAACTGTTGAAGAAGCAGAACATATACCTACAGTTGAGAACAATGTGCAAGAAAATGAAGACGTTGACGAGGCAAATCAAGAGCAGATGCCGGATTATGGAGATCTGCACGGTCAGCAAATTATGGAAGAAACCAATATGACTGAAATAATAGTGGAGGACTCAATTGGCTACAATTTCGACATTGACAATATGCCAGTAGATATTGTACTAGTAGAAAGGACAGAACAGGATAAAATCGTCAGTAATGAAGATTAACACCTAGTAAGTAGAATGAAGGAAAATAAATTTAAAAATTGCAGTGAAGTAAACAAGGAACGCAAGACAGAACAGAACAAACTGGAAAATCAGCAGAAAAGGACTTAGCATGCCCCTTAATAATTTTCCTTGGGTGAAATTCAAAGCAAGAAGGATCTGGCAGAAGCTATTAATTTTAAAAATCAAGAAATATCTCCTGGATTGTGTTATTTTTGTACTTTCAATGTTTTTATGCATTCATTAGGTATAAAATGTAAGAAGTGCATAAGAATATGTTTTTTGAGGTGCATTGAAAATAACAAACTTTACAAATCAAATTCCAATATGTTTATTTGTGCCACCTGTAAGAAACTGTGATTCACTTATCGAGTGAAAAATTTAATATTTCTGTTGATAAACTAACGAAGAATCTTTATTTAGTATTGTTTTGTAGGACTTTATAAATATTTTTAATTAGATTTAGAGTACATATTGTTGAATCAACCCATGAACAGTCATATACAACAGAATGGTAACCAGGCCTGGGCTAAACATTTTGTGCTATGTAACAAATGTGTAATTTTTGTACATCCGAAGTAACCTAATGCATTCTTGCAAATTTGTCCTGATAGTTTCATCATCATCATCATCAACTAGCCTCTAACGTTCACTGCTGAACATAGGCCTCTCGCATGCTTTTCCACTTAGTCCGATTTTGCGCAATCTGAATCCAATTTGTAGTCACTCTTTTTATGTCATCTGTCCATCTCGTTGGGGGTCGACCTCTATTTCTGTAAGCTTGTATTCGGGGTCTCCATTCCAAAATTCTTTTTGTCCACCGGTCATCAACTGCTCTTGCTACATGACCTGCCCAGTTCCACTTTAGTGTTGTTATCCTTTCAATAACGTCTGCTACTCCTGATCTTTTGCGTATAGTAGCATTGGGTATTCTATCACGTAGAGAAATCCCTAACATAATTCTCTCCATTGCTCTTTCCGCAACTTGTAGTTTACTCACTGTTGTTCTTGTGAGCGTTAGGGTTTCTGCGCCGTAGGTCATCACTGGCAAAATACATTGATTAAATACTTTTCTTTCAGACACATTGGAATCTTAGACCTAAAAATATCCTTCATCCTTCCAAATGCAGCCCAAGCGAGGTTTATTCTTCTTTTCAGCTCGATTGTTTGGTTGTCTCCACTTATTCTGATCTCATGGCCTAAGTATTTATAGGAGTCAACTGGCTCAATATCTTTGTCTTCTACTGAGATGTTTTTGTTGTGGACTAATTTTGTCATAAATTGTGTTTTTGAAAAATTTATTTTAAGACCAACTCTTTTTGTGGCAGTATGGAGTTCTTGGAGCATTATCTGTGCCTGATCAAAGCTGTCTGCAATAAGAACGATATCATCTGCAAATT